CTGTAGTCCGAAAACACATGAAAATACACGGAGTGTTCTGAGCGTGAATTAGTCGGTTATACACAGTAAAAAATCATGCGTCCATATGTAGAATTTTTCTTGTGTTACCACATTTTGATTATTACTTCAACGTAAAATAAACATACAACTAATATGTTATTATTTTTGTAACATTTTGATGTGTTAGATTCATGTCACCTTTCTAACTTAACAATTGCGTATGTCAATTAAAAATGGAATATTATTTTGAGTGTTTTTAACACAATTGTTTCAATTAATTTATATATCTCAAAGTCAATTTAATATCTAAGAATTTTTTCATTCACATTATACGAACAAAATGTTTTATTAACATTTTCTTACGAGTTACTGCAATTACTCTTCTATGTACTCTACTTATTTCATATGTTAGTTGTAAATCATTCTTAAAGTCAAAATAACAAATATAAATGTAAAGTATTGTGTCAATTATTTAACATTATTAGTTCGTTAATAAATAACACAAGATGAATGAGTTACTTTAACTTAAAATTTAGAGTGGATCTCCTGGGACATGTAAAAAATGTTAAAATTAACATTTTCTTTTTTACTGTGTATGAATAACTGCGTAAAAGTAATGTAGGTTTATTGTAGTTAATCGAGGGTTTTTAATTATTTATTAATAAATGATTTTAAGCCGAGAGAATGATAACGCAGGTACGGATTGCACAGTGAATAAGCACTTCAGTAAAATTTATCGTACATATTACGCGCATGAGTGTCTCGTCGGTATGAAAGAGGAAACACAGTACATATTTCGCAACGGCAAAATTCCTATTCCGCCTTCCGAGCTACTTTTTCACCTCCTGAACAACCGCATCGCATGCCCGTAAATTTTTGACCGCGGATAGCATTTTTCAGGGCTGACTACTTTCGTGGTCGTAAATTCACGGACGACGACCTGACAGGAAAGGAATTTCGTCGTCACGGAATGCCAGGCCCTTACTTGCTGCTCCCTGGCGAAATTGGAGTCGATGGAGATCGCGCTGCAAAATCGCGCTACCGAAATCGATTCCAATATTGATCGTCGAATTTGTGTGATTAACTGCGGCTGGTCCCGTCGCACCGAGGAAAAAATGATTTCTGCTACGGTTAAGCGGGTAGCCCGGGCTGATATGAAATAAAACGGATTACGCTAGTGGATATTAGGTAAAATGGATGCCGTGTGCACCGCGCGACGTTGATGGATAGAGTCGACTCGAAAACCTCACCGTTCGAAGAAGATTTACCGACAAAGTAGAGTGCGGATCGTTCTCGTGTGGTCGGAAGTATCACGAAAAGCCGTTATACTTTTGAGAACGTTATAAAAGTTTAATGTGTCCCTAAAGTTCGATGGAGTATATGATCTGATCATAAATCAACTATTATCCGAGGTATTATCCGTGCAGGTCGCGCTAGCTTTTTTTGTTAGTGGAAGTGTATCGAGATTGCATCCATACAATATACTTTTATTCGTTCGCCGGGCTTGACTTCACAATCCGTTCTTTCTTCCGTTCGTGCTATTTTTTTCTTTCTTTAATATTTTTTTTTTTTACAAAAGTCCACGTAAAAATATCATTTTTCGCGTCAACGCGCAAGTCGCAATCCGTTGGTAGATGGAGAAAGAAGAAATGAAGTCGCGCGCCGATCCGTTTCTCTTTGCGAAGAATAGCGATTCGTGAAGTTATCCAACACGTACGAAATCGGATTCCATAGCGTAAATGCCGGTGTCGGGAAAGCGCAGCGCGATTGTCTAAACGGTATCGTGTGCGAAGTGTGCTTCGTGTCGAGTGTGCGAAGTGCCTGTTGAATATTCGCAAGTCACGGTCCATTTGAAATTCCGAATATCCGGCAACGACGACGACGGTCACGACGGCGATGACGCGATGGATAATCTTGAATTCCGTAAGTTTCGATTAATGTTGAATAATTCCCGGGGGAGGTTCTTAAGTGGACGATAGACTCCGTTACTGTTGCAAGCACGCTCGCGGATGCCTTTCCCCCATCTTGACTTATGCAGTCCACTACGGATTTACCGAATCCGGAGTAATCTGTCGAGGAATTCCGTGTACGCTCGTATTCCGCTGGAATTGGAACGGGGGATGTATCATATCGCGTAAAGTTGATTGTCAAGGAATATAACGGCGGAGCCACATGTAACAGTTTGTAAGTGTCGGTCCTATAAAAGTTACCGAGTTACCGAGTTGCGCGATAAAACAAGTTTCCTCTACACATGATTTAGGTGAATGTATCTAATAATAAAGTATAGTTTCTCCTGTAAAAAATCTTTATCCCAAAACATTTAATATTTTTAAAAAGAATTTACGTCTATTATTTGATAATGCCATAATGCATTTTTTATGTATTTTACGCAATATAAAGTTAGAAAGAAAAGGATAAAAACTTTCAAAAATTAAGATGATCTTATCAATTTATAATCCTCTTAAAGACCTCAACGATTGTTACCATCGTTAAATATTGTTACAGAATAAGGTTATTAATTGGAAAGCAAAGAGATGCGATTTTTGATTCGTCACACCTAGGAGTTGCAAAGCTCAACAATGCTTTTAGTCAACAATCTCGTGCAGACACGTGAGATAATAACGCGTCGCCAAATTTCTCCGCGATGTCTATATCTTCCCGTCTCGCATTTTACACGTTCGATAGTTACTAGCCGTACTATAGAGAACCCGGAATACATTTCCAATGATGCGGCAGACAGGGGGAGTCGGCCTATCAGATTCGGTTATCCTAATCCGCGTCATGTAAATCCAATTTCCAGAGGTTTATCTCGCGGCAATGGCAGCCGGGAGCGATATACCGTGCGGCGGGAAGACGCGGGATTCGATGGTAACAGCAGGTAGTATCGACATGTCGATGCACCTTGCGCGAGGTGGGCGCGTAGGTGATGCATGAAGATAGGTCTCTATAAAACTCGTTTGAGCTTTCCATGCTATGTTATCGTCGAAAGTCTCTGGAAAGGTGAAGAGATACATATTTTTAGCACACGCATGTATAGGATAACTCCGGTATATACGCCGCACCTATTAAAAACTTAATTTATTAAGTATTATTTACTATGTTTATAATAAACGAACTATATCAGTAAAAGCTTTGTACTGTCTACTACTATGAACAAAATATTAGAAATCCGAAATATTTATTTTTTATATTAAAAAATAAACTTTTTGAAACCTTTGCATTTTTACCGTATATCCCATAGAGGTGGGATATATGGCTATTCATAGGAGGAGGCGGGTGTACGGCTCATAAAAAATTTACAAATAATGCATATAAATAAGACGTATAATCACACAATAACTTATAAAATATGTTTATAAAGTTTTATTAAGAAATAAGAATGGTAAATATGTATATAAAATAATAAATAATAATTATAATCTTCCTACATATATTACAAGTGTTATGACATGAGGTACATATTTCATATAATGCGTTTATTGCATTTAGTACACTGAATTCAATCTGCGCACGTTGTATGCTTTGGGCATAAATCTCGCTAAAAATGCCATATATCCCAAACAGGTGGGATATACAAGACAACAGACTAAACAAAGAATACGAAAACAAAGCACTTGTATTTTGCTACACAACATGCTTTACTATTCCACTACACGTATGTATCACCAAATAACCACCAAGTCTTTTACATGCCCTACATTAATCATTTTATGTAGATTATAATTTATGATGGCGTTACTTATTACAGTGTGACAAATCGATTCAACTCACAATAAATTAATATAATAAGAGATGATACTAGGCTAAGGAGATTCAATCAATTGGTGAGAATAATGCCTATATGAGCCAACACAGAGTGTTCATGTGTGAAACATTTTTAACTTTATTATAAGAATTTAAAATAATCTGTAAATGTTTCGACTCTCGTTTCGGGTCCTTTTTAGTACAAAGTTTTAAATGACGCAAATGTAATGAGAAAAACGCACGTTGAGGAATGTCCCGTGTAGAAATTTGTTAGGGATGGTATTATGTAACATATTTCTGATGAGGCCCTTATCGGGATTTGATAGGAATGCCATAAGTAAGGCTTCCTTATTTATATCTGATGAGGCCCTTATCGGGATTTGATAGGGATGTATTAATTTTATAAATACTTATTTATTAGGGCTGACTTATAAGGATCTGGAAAGGATTTATTAGGGATGCCATAAGTAAGGTTTCCTTATTTATATCTGATGAGGCCCTTATCGGGATTTGATAGGGATGTATTAATTTTATAAATACTTATTTATTTTAGGGCTAACTTATAAGGGCCTGGAAAGGATTTATTAGGGATGTCATAAGTATAAGGTTTCCTTATTTATACCTGATGAGGCCCTTATCGGGATTTGATAGGGATGTATTAATTTTATAAATACTTATTTATTAGGGCTAATTTATAAGGGCCTGGAAAGGATTTTTAAGAGATGCCATAAGTAAGGTTTAAGGTTTCCTTATTTATATCTGATGAGGCCCTTATCGGGATTTGATAGGGACGTATCAACTTTATAAGAACTTATTTATTAGGGCTAACTTATAGGGGCCTGGAAAGGATTTATTAGGAATGCCATATTAGTATGTTATTCTCCAGACAAAAATAAGCGACATGTATTTTTTTATATGTGCCTATACGTACTTTTAAAGGATAAAACACGCCTTGGAAAGAAATTAATTTTTCTCTTTCGAAGCGAATATCGTTGGAACTGTAAGAGATAAAAAAAAATTTCTAAAAGAGAAAAACCAAATTTTTTTCTAAAGGGTGTTTCACCCCCTAAAAGTGCGTATGGGTACGTACAAAAAAATACTGACTGGATGTTCAGTTAAATTGCACAAATTTCTATCAGGATTATATTGACAGATATATCACAACTATACGTTCATTAACATTCAGTGTTTGTGGATCATCGAAGTAGCAGTTTCCGTACGATTACAGAGGTCAAACAACGCGAACGATGGTTCGC